GCTTGTTCTTTTAAAGCTAATCAAATTTCTAGCGTCCGAAAATAATCTTTCGCTTGAAACTAATGTAGCAGGTATTGCAAGATATTTTTGAGCTATTCTTGCAAGTTTTGGAAAATTTTTCAAGTGCGTTTTCCACCAACCCAAAGGATCTTTGGTATTTGGTGCTGATGATAATAATAGATAACTTGAAATTTTATCAAGAACCTGCGAATCTGGTACTGATTTGTCTTTCTTTTTTCTTTTCAGTTGCCGCTGCTAAAGATACTCTTTGTGAGATCGTACTAAAGATTCTGTATTAGGTGGAGTTGGATGGATTAGTATTTCAGATGTTGGTTCTTCTAATTCATTAAATTCATCATAAAGTCTTTTAATAGTTAGTTGCTTTTCGGAATCATTGTCTAAAAAATCTAAGCTTTTATTACGTGGATCGAGTAAAGCTGCCATCAAGCCAAGATCATTTGGGTCGTTCCAATAATTGATAAGTGCATTATAAATATTTTTTTTAATTTGTTCTAAAATGCTTGTCGTAACTAATGGATTTTTAATTGAAATTTTTTTTCTTGTAACATTACTTATAATGTTGTCATCATTAAGATCAATGGGTTGCATGTCTTCATTATCTGACCCAAATACGGTAGCCTCGTCCAAAAATAGATCATTATTTAGAGGAGTTTCGCACGCCAAATCAAAAATCATTTCCTTAATGGTTGGAATAACCTTGCTTAATGTTACGTACGTATTTCCTGAAAACTCTCGTGTTGCCTCCTCGAATGGCATCAACAAGTCGATAAGTTGGTCCAATAGTTCCCATTCATTATCTGAGAGAAGTATCCTTTTTAATTTTGTCCCATCTTTTTTTATTTCCCGATCCTGTGAAGTATATAAATTCATTTGAAGCTGAATTATAGCATCTTTTAAAAAAAAAGACGATTCCAAGAGTAATACAAGGAGTTCCAACGTGTGGGTACATATTGAATGCAACGCAAAATATCTGAATAACCAAGTTTTTTTTGCACCTCCTCTAGTCGTTCTATCTGTTTTTGATATTGAAAAAACTGAATTAGCCTTTTTGCACGTGTAACAAAAACCTCTGCTGGTGCTAGTCCCTTTCCAATTGCCAACTGGAGAGTATGAGCTGAACATGAAAGACGTTTGATC